CAGGCAGACACAGTTAGATGGACTGAGTGAGTGGGGGAGAGAGACAGGCAGACACTCAGTTAGATGGACTGAGTGAGTGGGGGAGAGAGACAGGCAGACAGACAGTTAGATGGACTGAGTGAGTGGGAGAGAGAGACAGGCAGACAGACAGTTAGATGGACTGAGTGAGTGGGAGAGAGACAGACAGGCAGACAGACAGACAGTTAGATGGACTGACTGAGTGGGAGAGAGAGACAGACAGACAGACAGTTAGATGGACTGAGTGAGTGGGAGAGAGAGACAGGCAGATAGACAGTTATAGGCTTTTATTTTAAAATGGGGGGGGAGTCCTCTAAAAGTCTCCAAGACCTGAATGACTGTATGAGAGAGAGAGAGAGAGAGAGAGAGAGAGACAGAGACAGAGAGAGATAGAGGGAGAGGAGTGTGTGTGTGCGTGTGTGTCTCAGTGCCTCTGTGTGTTTATCAACATCACTAATGAGCTCATATAAACACCTGTGTGCTTGGGTGCATGTTGGTGATTGGAGCACCTGTGTGTTAGAGGCTAATTAAGAGAGAGAGTAACCAGTGATTTCCAACAAAACTACCTGTCAAACATATGCCCTTTATACCAAAACCATGAGACTAATCAATAAAATATCGATACCGTGAGAAAGATAAGACTCTGGCAAACGCGAGATGTGTTTTTTATGTTTGTGGTGTTAAAAATGTGAGCTTGAGCACAATATGCAAAACTGGTACCGTCTGCTTTCTTTGAGAAATGAGTGGTCAGATTTAACATGGAGTCTAATGGAGCAGTTGGCTGGAGTTCATGTCGCTCTGTGGCTCTTTGAGCTAAATGTGTAAGTCCGTTGGATTCCACAGACATCTGTGTGCGACAGCACAACATTTCCAAGCTTTTTGGCCAAAAATGGTGTATAAAGAGTAAAAATTGTGGGAGCTGGAGCAATTTGTTTGGAAAAATCACAGAAGATTTTCCTGCTCCGCTCCACTCTGACGGTTATGCTCTCACTCTAGCTCTTAACGAGCCGTGCAATACACACCCATTATAAAATCTGAAACGGACCCAAAATTTTCATGAAACTTAATCTGTGACTTCATGAAAACTGTGCTAGCTATCAAAATGTCCATTTGGCTCAATAAAGTGCAGCGTTTTGTCTACGTTTTAAACTTTGAATCATGTTTCTACGTTAATGTATGGCTCGTCAATATGGGCCCAAAGTTAAGTGTTTTTTTAGCTCTCTTCACGCGGAACCCCATTCAAATGAATGGAGAAATTTTGCTGAGTTTTTGGGGCTTTTCGGGAATTATCGGGAAAACCGCTTGGCGAATCTCTCCGAAAAATAGATGGCACACTATTCACGATCAGGCCGCACGTTTTGATGTATTTTTCACGCCGCTGTTGGCAACACTGTGTGAGGAGAAGCACGCCAAACTTCATTTTGCTCCGTTTTTCGGGGTTTTCCGGGAAAACCGCTTGGCGCATCTCTCCGAAAAATTGATTGCAGACTATTCCCGATCAGGCCGCACGTTTTGATATATTTTTCACGCCGCTGTTGGCAACGCTGTGTGAGGAGAAGCGTGCCAAACTTTTGGATAAACCTGATTGTTATTATTAGTAGTAGTAGTATGATTAAGCCCGATGGATAATATACAGTGTGCTTTGGCACAAGGCAGTTTTACTGCCTTGTGCCACAAAGCCACACTGAATAATGCTTCACTGTGATTACAGGTATGATGAGAACGCAACATTATCACCCCCCCGCAGGGAGTTATGGTTTAATAAAACACTTGCCAATTACATATATATATATATCTATACATATATATATATATATATATATAATTAAATACTCCAAATAATCTCTGTGTAGCTCATTATATTACTCCTATTATTAGATTTTAACAACTCAACAAATAATACCTAATATCCTTGAGCACACAGCCTTTTGTAACGAGTCAACATGTTTCAGTAATCCCTTAAACACCGTGTGGATGTGCTTGTGTGCCAGCACCTGCATCCACGTAGGTACAATGAGTGTGAACGGGCCCGTTCGTTAGTGTGACTGTGACAGTTTTCCCGGAGTGGTGAGGATAATAGCGTTCTGCAGGGACTGGGAGCCTCACTCCCACGAGGCAATCAATTCTCTCCAGAGTGAACAGGAATTAATAGGCTTAAGGATTAGCGGAGTTTCCAAACAGCTGAACAACACAAACTCGCTCTCAGTACTTGGTCATGACACTTTCCAAAACGGCCATTATTTGTTGTGAAACCAACTTCATTGTTTATGGTCAAATGAGCCAGACTCGAAACATACTTCAAGTGTATCTATGGATAGGGTTATTACTTTCTTGGTATTTTTTCTTTCTGACTCTATCTCTATAAACTTGTTTGCCTATATTAATCAATAGATACTACTGGGTTAAACCAATTTCTGCCATGTTTTAAAATCACTTTAATATCAAAAATCTCAAGAAGTACACTACACGCACATGCCATCCCCGCCACGTGCACATGCCCGCAGGCTCTCGTGCCATCGAAACCTACCGATCTTGATGCAGGTGTTGTTGGAGTGAGACTTGCGTCCCGGTGCGTAGGAGAGCAGGATGTTCTGGGGCTTGAGGTCCCTGTGGATTATGCCTTTGCCCTGTAGCACCCTCATGGCCCCCGCGATCTGCTGCAGGAAAACCCGAATGGTGTCCTCGCTCAGCGTGCCCTTGGCTACAGAGAAACAATGTTTACTGACTACAAGTTAACTTTGGTACACTGGGTGTACAACGTGGTTTATTGATTCATTACTGATGGAGGAAACATGGTGGGGGTGTAGAAGACAGATTGGAACTGAATAACCTTCTTACATAGATTTTCTAATTTAATAAAAATATCTCTAAGATGTATTTTTCCTCTCTGTTCTGTGACATCGCCCCACTGCCACCTCCTGCCCCCTCGTCTCTTCCTTCCCTCCAATCACTCCCCTCGTCTCATGGTGGGTCAACATGGTTCTATGTGAGAGTCCCTCCCTTGTCTTGAATTCCTCTCTGGGTCCGCCTCCCTTCCTGTAAAGCCAGACTCAGGCTTGACTCGAGCCAGGAAGAAAAAAAGTTTTGTTCATTGCACAAAGTGGGTAGTGGATCCAAAACCACTTTTCTTTTTTTTTTTTTTTTTGAACCAGAGAGGGAAAGACTATTACTGAAATAGGTCCTCTATTTAGACTATCTGTACCTGGCAGACGAAGTTAGCAGCTCGAGCTATAATTAGTCTGCAGACGGCTAGATGTTTTATTTCCCCAGACTGCCCACGTTGACAGATAAAGACGTGTTGAGTGCACGGGCTGCTAAGAGATGTGGCAAACCTGGACAGAATTACAGACTTTATTTTAATGACCAGGTTTGTTAGCATAGTAATGAAAAAAAAAAAGCATATTTATAAGAGGTGGTGTACTGTATGTATATGACATATTTCTCAAATACAGGAGGGATGCTTCTATGTGGTTGTATTACACTGCATGTTAAAGTCTATTTTTAAGCCTGAAGCTGATACTGAAGCATCAAATCTGTCTTCAGGGCCCCAGATAAGAAGGCAGCTTCCTGCGGTCAAACAGGAAACCTAAAAAAAAAAAAAAGCAGAGGTGTGACCTGGATGGCAGCCTTGGGGCGCATATTTCACTGTTAAGTTGTTCCCTTTTGTTTGCACTCTTTCAATCTCCTCGGTAGATTTAACAGAGCTGAGAAATAATTCTTCCTCTTCTACTAATCAGTCTTAACCGGCAGCTCCTATCCAAACATCCTCATTCTGGATTTAAATGCCTTAATTGGTTGCTTTAGCGATTTAAACCTAAAAAGTTAAGATTATTCTACTGTCAGAAATTGTTCGTGTTCGTATTTATGATATTGGCTTTTAGAAATAAAGAGAGGCTTTAGGGACGAGGACTCTCCCTCTCTCGTCACCGAGCAACAAAGACGACGTTTCAACATCAGTTCCATTGTTGTTTGTTTTCTACTAAGAAGCACCTACAGCTTTTAGGAGGTGATTTGTTGCACTTACAGTGTAAGTAGTCAGCGAGGTCTCCCCCATTGCAGTACTGGGATTAGAGAGAGAGAGAGAGACAAGGAGGGGGAGAGAGAGAAGGGGGGGGGGGGGGGGGGGAGAGTGGGGGGGGGGTGAAAGAAGGAGAGATGAAATGGAATAACATTAGGACACACAGGTAAAACAGAGGCTGGAGTGTAACCATAGTGAAGGAGTCTCTGATATCAGCCTGCCTCTGAGGGGACTAGAAAGTGAAAGAGATCAGAGCGAGGATTTGCTGGAGAGTGATGCCTTTACAAATTTCTAAGCATGCTCGCATCAATATGAATGAATCCAGGAAAGGACAAGGTGTGTTATGAAAGGCTGCCTCAGTCATTTCCTTTCCCCAAGACACAGAGATAAGCATGAACAAATTAAGATTATATATAGAGAGACAACATTTACCAAATGTCACGGTTTTGTCTTTCCACTCATGCAGTGTGATGTTTAATTGCTGTTGTATTACTTTATGCGGTGCTCCGGGGACACTGGAAGCTAACGAAGATGCACATAAAGAATATAAATAAATATATTTTTTTTTCTGCTTAGTCACATTCCAAATCGTTTTTTCCCAGATTTCCCTGCAGCTCTCAGTATTCATCGTGACTGTGAACGCTGCATTTTGAGATCGGGTGCCTCTGGCGAGCAAGTGTCACTTTTGTTGAAGTTGTGTCTGAGTGAGCTCTTCTGCTTGGCTGGCCTGAATGTGCGAACACAATATTGCATGTGTCCGCACAACGCACATTAAAAAGAACTCAACACAAATAGTAGTTGACATGCACTCTAAAAGACCCAAACGGCCAATTATGATGTCTGGAGAGCTAGCATGACAGGAATGAGACATTTGTATGAGGCACTTGTCGTGCTGAACATTACTGGTTACATTTTGAGCATCAGTCCAGAGGCCAAAGTACTCGTAAAGTGAAGTAGTAGAAACAAGATTCACAAACACTACACTACCTATGGATCAAGGGAAACAGTAGTAAGTCACTGTAAAAAAATCGAGCAGCATTTGGATGTTAACCAGTGACCATTGCCCCCCCCCCCCTCCCCCTCCATTGATGCCTGAGGACAAAGCTAATTATAGCCCGGGCCTCGTCAGCGCTGACTGCAAAAAGGCTGAGACAATACAGCGCTTGGCAAACAAAGCCAAACAAGCTTACCTCCATTACCAGGTACACCGAGCTGGCAGTTTCCTAAAGAGGGGAGAGATAAGAGTGTATGGGGGGGTAAACACACACATGTTAGTGGCAGACAAAGCAAGGAACAGGTGGCCATTATGTTTGAGCGAACCGAGCTGGGGGATCCGGATTGGAGAAACATACAAATTTAAATTTTTATTTTGTATTTGGGGGATTCAGAGTTCTAACAACCTTTCTAACATCTGTTATCTATTTCCCTCTCCCATCTCCCCTCTCAGCCTCTCTAAACCAATCTGAGGGCACACGTTGTGAAAAAGAAAACACAGTTCTGCCTGCATCATCTTATCACATGGCAACAGATGACTGCGGACTTTCACTCTGACCTCAGCTCAGTATCTTGTTGAATCTACCAGTCAGAGGCCAGGCTGCTTTCTATAGTTCAGCTGAGTCGGGCCTTTTGAAATTGGTTGTCTTTGGCTGTATTGAAGCCGGATGGCAAACCGACCGACCAGTCAGTAAAGAGAGAGACAACCATCTGGTTTCCTCCGGCTGCCTCTCCGGCAGCAGCACCAAACTTTCAGTGAGATAAGATTGTCTGGAGTTGCATTGAAGGGGACATTTTTCATCTCGCGCTGTGACTTGCTTTGAAATAATGAAGACGGCACAGGTGTATTATGTGTATATCAGGTCTGCAAAACAAGGATTACTTGCATTATCGCATATTTTGGTACGAACGGTCAACTTCAATCAATAAAACACATCTCCGGGTCAGGTGACGAGGCCTGACGAATTTGTATTAATCCAGAGTTCATTAATAAACAGTTTTCATTACGAGATTTCATATGGGATGAAAACAAAAAGAAATGCATGCAGACTCGAAACTAAGAGCGCGGCCAGACCAGAATCATGAGAGACGCAGCAAGGAAACAAGGATGTAAGTCAACATTCCTGCAACGCGCGTCATTGTGCAGAAATGCAGTGTCGTCAGATGGCACGACGGGAATAATGGGAACACGAGATGTTTTGAACCAGATCGCAGCGTGTCACCAACGGGACCAAAAAAGACAAAAGAAACACACGGCGGGTTGAGATGCGTCTTCGTGTCGGGGCTGTCTGAATCGTCCAGCAGGTGTTTGTCGCAGTGAGCTATAGGACTGGTTTGTGGGCTTCAGGCAAAAGAACACTGCTGGGGATTCTCACTCACCTTACAATGCGACACCCCAGTTAGCGTTAGAGGTTAGTTTCTGGTATCTGAAAACATGTGTACGTGCACAGGCTGTGTGGGACAAACAACAACACCTGGTCGGCACCCGCGGCTTTGTGCCTGGAAAAAGGTTGGCGACGTATCTCTTGCAACGAGCAGAGATACAGACAATTCACCGAAAGCCCCGAGCTCACAAAGGCAGAAGTATTTACTGAAACTTTTACAGGGATTTTGCTGTACACGGGAAAGCATGCCTCGACAAGATCAAACAGAAAGATGTTATTTTCAGAACAAACAAATGTAGAAAAGCCTCATTTAACAAGTAGGGGGAAAACAAGTCTGTTCAAGCTGCGTGAGAATGAAGTGGGTCATCTGGAACAGACGCATCCAACAAGGCCCATCTGCTCTACTTCCATGAGCGCGGTTCAATCGGCCTGATCCTGACACGGCCCAGATAGCAGCCGCCAGTGGTTGTTTTACATACCTGAAAGTCCAGTAATGCAACGATGTTCTCGTGTTTCAGCTCCTGCAGAAATGACAGAGAAAATAAAATCTATATTTGGATGGTGTATGCCTCGTTGTTTTTACATGTTTAACTTGACTTGTGCAGCCATGAGGTTTGCAGAAAACATAACATTTACTTTCACTACGATGATTACATGATGATCTTGTCACAATGATAACTAATATTTCACTCTGAAATATGGCATCTTTCCAGCTCTAGACACCGAGTTGTTCACTACAGCAAAATGGTTTATTACCACACCACTGACCAAATTATCTAATAAACACTTTATAACACTTTGAAATAGCACGGTGGAATTCAGGGATTCACTACCGCTTGTGAGGACAGAAAGTGTTTTTTTGCTCAGGTGTTATTTGGTCTCAAACAAACAAATGCTTGTTTTACTGCATGTGTTCATTATAATAAACAGTAATCTAATAATTGGAAAGAATGCCTCTGAGAGCTTCTGACTTACCTTGAGTATTTTAATCTCTTTCCCCAACAGTGTCTGGGATTTGGCCAAGTTCTTCTTGTTGATGCACTTTACCGCCACCTCCCAGTCATGTTTCTAGAAGGAAACATTACACGCTAAATATATTTTGGGACGGATGCTATGTAGCAATGTGTTGCACTGCATCCTTGTATGTTTATGAAGATCTACCTGTCTTTGCACTACAGTGAAAGTGTCAGTATGTTTCAGGACACACAGAAAAATTTGTTCAATGTCCAAAATGTCTGCTTACTGAGACAGTTTTGTAGAGCAGTCAGTGACTCTTTACAGACCTTATTTCCTACAATATAATGCAACTCCCTTGCCCTGCATTTTCTGACCTTACAGCATATTTGAATGTGTTGTATTATGTATACATATGTGTTCTAAGATGCCATTATCCTCTATTATAGATGGATCTGATCTGCCTATTTACTAATAAAGCAACACAGATATTCAGGCCTCCATTTACCCTAGACTGCATTAGCTGATGTGATATATTGTATTACCAGTGTGCATCAGAATCTATACTCTTTCATTACGTAGGGCATGTTACAGCTTGTTCATCAATGGTCTCTGTGTGGAGCTTTCTTATGGAAACAATAATATTCTGCTGCTCTACATTCAAATTTAACAGGATTATGGACGTGCAGCATCTGCCAAACCAGACGGAAAATAAGGACCCTCACTGAGTAATAATCCATGCATTTAATAAAACCTCGCATATATTAAAAAAATAAAGCATTTCATCCATTAACTGTGTTGTTTTTAGGAACATCCTGTTTCGTGAGCCCAGGCCTCTTAAGGCCGTACAATGACAACAAATACACCAGATGGCCAATAAAATGCGATTCACGGCTAATATTACAACCGAACCATTCTAGCGAACTTTCATTTCATTTTTGCAAAACAAAAAAAGTAAAATGAATAACAGACAAGGAAAACACTCACCTCTCGGTGTCTGCCTTTGAAGACGACAGCAAATGCGCCATGTCCTATCAGGTCCTTCCGACTGAACTCAAATTTCCCCACCGTCTCCATATTGTGCACAAAGAGTGGTGTTCTACTACTTGGAGACGGACAATTGACCAGGAGGCCTCAGGTCGCACTTCTGGGTCGCAATTGCTCCTTTCTCCTCGGTCGAGTAGGGGCAGCAGCAGCAGCAGGGATGTTCGCCTCCTCGTCCACTTGCCATGAGCTGCCTTCCTGACAACAAACTATCCTCTTCTCTCATGTTCGCACGCACACGTTATGGAGTTTAACTCCTAACAAACCTCTTTGGTGATTCACATCGCTGCCGACACGGAGTTATAGCGAACTTACCGAACGAGAATCGAGTGTTGTTGTTTTTTTTGCAGCTTCTCTGACGTGCCACCTTAAAAAAAAAAAAAAAAAGCCAGCAGCTTGCTGCGTTTTGTTTGTATACAGGGGAGCCTCGCTTCTGTCGTCTGACGCGTACACACGGCGAAACAAGCGCCGACTGTGAGCTCAAGGCGAGCAAACAACGTCCAATAACCGGAGAATACCGCGAACTGTCCCGTTTATATCTTGCAATTCGCAGTTGACTCGCCGAAAGTCGTAGCATCGATGGTCCCGACAAAAGCAGACGGCGTCTAGCCTCTGCAACAAGAGCGCATGCGCAGAGCAACTACAGCTGTAGGGTTGACGTCACGGCCAGGGTCCTCGGTCATAAAAGTGAAAGCGTTTTGTCATCTGCTTTGGCTTCGCTGATGAACTACTTTAGACTTGAAAACCAAGGGACTGTCTCTTAATATTAAACGTGTCGAACAGTATGTCACGAGACAGTACGTCATATATACGTGCACGTGGGTTTGTGTATTTTACTTTAGGCTAACGTGAGAAGAAACATGAAGAAGAATGTCGTGAAAATAAACAGTAGGCAGGTACAATGCAGTAATTTACGGTAGTATCTACAATTCCCGTGTGTTTCAGACAGTCTTAATATTCATTTTTAACTAGCTACTGCTTTCTAGGAATACTGTTGGCCAAATGTTTTTAAAAAATGATTTCAAGTATGTGCTATTTGTCTTACAACATTCATATAAACATTGACTGCTTTTATAACAGGGGGGATTAACAGCATATTCCCTTGATTAAAGTTTGAATTGGTGACTTCACAACATTTTACCTTTTTTGTAAACTCACCACTAGGAGCAGAAAAAGACTATCAAAAGCAGTAGAATACATTAAAGCGGAGAGGAAAGGGTTGGAAGGGCATAGAAAAACTGGACAAAGAATGATTAAAACAAGAATCTAATAGCCCACTTACACAGATGGCTTGAAGATAGAGTAACAAGAAACACTATGGAAACTAAACAGAATTGAAAATGAATATTATCACCGATCAAATGTGGGAAAAGACTTAATATTGTCATACATGGATGGAGTTTGAATGGAAAACTAGAATGAGAGCATGCATACTAATCTCATGTACAATAATAATCATTTGCACACAGACAGAGAGGACAGACAGAAAAAAAACAAGCAGCTAAAAGCAACCATACCCTTTTTATTGCTGTTTTTTTTAATTACTATTGCTGAGGGTGTTGCTGTTGATTGCAAGGAAGGTGATTACAGTGGAGAAATGCCAAGCCACCAACTGTTAAACAATGGCGGGTCAGGTTAAAACGTGTTTATGTGATGGAAAGCACAACAGTTCAATTCAAATTAAGAGCTGATGTTTTCACACCGGTGATATTACAGCTAATGAGACTGATTAAGGAAACAAATACTCCGTGATCTCGGAGGACTTTGACTGGTGCAATCTTCATGTAATTGGAGCTATTTATACACGCCTGTGACTGTGTAGTACCTGCATAGTGATGCTGCAGTGACATGCTAATTGAGATTTCCCTCTGAGTTTTCCAACGGGATATGAAGAAGTGTCTAATTATATAGGTGATTGCTTACTGGTCTGAGCTATAGGTTAATTGGGTGTCTTTATCTGTGATGCTCATTTGAACAGAATCCAAATAAGATGGTAACACTTACGTTATGATATAGTCTGCCCAGCATTATGCAAGCTTCGTAATGATCATTTAATTAAGTATCAATTCATCTGAGCAGGCAACTTTCCAAGGGCTCTTTTAAGGCTGGAGGACAGCTGCTGTGGGAGAGCCCCGAGATGCTGAGCCCACTGCTCCTAAATGCAGCCATAACTATAAATTAAATGGGTCTCTCACGGCGGCTAAATCCAATGTAAGGTGTTTTTGTTTCAATTCGGTTGACTGAGTGGATGCACGTCTGACTAATACAGTCGCCTTAATTATCATATTTTGTCCTTGAGAGGAAAGTATTTCCACAGTTTAAGTGCAGATGATGAATGTGCTCATATTTCTGCATTATGACCAAAGCAAAAAGACTGATGTGAATTCCTGTTGCAGAATTCCAGCATGAGTTTCTTAGAGTTCAACTGATGCCCTTTACACACATGAATACAAGACAGTTAATCTGCCCAGGAGGTAATAAATAAACGTTTAAAACACGTTCTGTATATTTAAGTACCAGAGGAGGGCGGTAGAGGCCTGCAAAAGAGTGCATATTGATCATGTTGACCACCTTTTTATTTAATATAAACACCGATTGGAAAATGTCATGGAAACAAGGCATAAGGTCATTATATTATTTTTATCTTATCTTAGTCTTTGGATAATCAGACATGGACAATAGTGTGACAATATTCACTTGAGCAATATCATGAGATCAGTGACAGCATCATGAAATACAGTTTACCTGGAGAAATAGTCTGCAGTCTTCAAAGGACAGCTTTTGAGAAGTTGAGTTCCAGTGGAAACGTTGCTAGCACATTGTCAAATATATATTATTTAAAGGTGGAAGGCTTTTCAGGAATAACATTGTTTTGATGTTTTGACACAGAGTGAGGACCAGTAAGATCACCTTGAAACATCCGGCTCTCACCGCCAATCTGATATCAAAGAGCCGTTGTATCCTAGCTGATATCAAGTGAGATGACAGCCAGTCATTGTGTAATACTAGTGCAGCATTGTCCAACAACACCGGTGCATGCTATCATGAATTACTTATCGTGCTTTTCCCGAGCCAAGAATCCGACTGTGCTGAGCAGGCCAACATACACTTGTATAGTTGATGCTGTGATGTGTTCTCTATGTAACAAATGTTAACTGAGTTTTTTTACTCTTCTGCTCTTCAGTGTTTCACTTTGACAGAAAGTTTTGGTTAAACAGGGCGAGTGCATTTTGCTGAAAGCAGCCCACCAGCCATTCCAGATGTCCACTCTGCAGGGGGCTTGCTCTGTTTTTTAAATTTGTTCTATACATATTTTAGTTCTGCTCTGCGGCTCACTCAGAATGATTGATTGGTTCTTCCTGTCACACATTAAGCCGCTGCTGTAGAAAGTTGATGCAAAGGCCTTCAACAGGTATTCACTGTAGTCAGAGAATGGGGCTCCACAGCCAGCAGTGTCTCAATGTACTTGCACACTGTATACAAACGTGAGATGTCTGTAAAATTCAAATATGTAAATGGATTATCATGACACAATAAATAACAGGTTGCCTTCCACCTCTGTTTCCGAATTAAGAATGACATTCACACACACTAACACCCATGCATCCACACTCCATTAGCATTGACCGTGGCTTCTAGGCTCTCTGAAGCTACAGGAGACTCGCTGCACTTTCTGACCCTTAGTTGTCCATCGCTTGTTTCTAGGCAGATTACATACTTTTACAGGACTGATGATTAACCAATGATGAGGAACCAATGATTAACCTATTATATCACCAGGCCTTGGCATGTAGTTGATGGGTAAGGGATTGGACATTCCTTTAACCAGCAATTTGGGTTGTTGGGGTTTTTCCTGCAGGGTCTTAAAACTTTGAGGTTTATGATCATGTTGCCTTGCAAGATTTTGTGCAAATAAGTTTGCATCATGCTCTCATACACACACACACACACACACACACCTACACACACATACACACACACACACACACACACACACACACACACACACACACACACATAATAATCCCGTCCATGCAAGGGCATAATGCCTTGTTTTATCAGGGTGCTTTGTTTTTATGCATTTTAGCCATGTTTAACCATACCAATGATCACTCAAGGACAACTATGCATACAGAAAGCACATAAGCTTACTTATGCATACTAATTTGTTTGCTTCCCTTACAAAAGCCCAACCAACTATCTTTGACTATGTATTCCATATAATTATTCATCTTAGATGTATCATATTTTGCAGTATATCAATACATTCCGTATCTGGAATACAATTAAACAAGGGTGCATTGTGTGTGTGTGTGTGTGTGTGTGTGTGTGTGTGTGTGTGTGTGTGTGCGCACACATGCATGCTTTGTGGGGACATTATCCCACAGATACATTACGGGGACTTATCTCAAAACATGCCAGAACATGGTCCCCAACCATATTTTAGAATAGGATATGGTTTGGGTAAGTGTTTCAGTGAGGCAAGGGTACAGTACAGTAAGGATAAACCTTTCAGTCAATTACAGTCAACACAATTCCTCACCATCAAGAGAAACATTAAATTAATGAATCTAAATGTGTATGATTGAATTTGTGTTTTCTGCATACCCCTATTTTGTTGGTTCTCCTCATTGTAAACCACTGCGAGGTACATGCCTTGTATATTTTGAAATCACATTTACTATTAAGAACTTTTATCTCCATGACCAAAGGCTAAGGGGCAGCTGCCTCCTCCAAGGCCCCTCCTTTCCACTTAGCTAATATCAAGTGCTGTGGCACGGTGCCCTGCTCATCTGTTCAGCCTAACATCAAGCCTTCTACCACGTGGAGAAGAGGTTGCACAGCTGAATGGTGGCCAACCTTTTTTCATGTAGATGGATAGCTACACGTCTTGCCATGAAGGTCAGTGCTTTTTCAAACCCATCTCTGCACTGAAATGAACTTTTAAGACTTGATCAGCATAATAGTTTTGTCTGCATACTGCATTGCTATGCTCCAGCATGTGATCCCCGCCAATAGGTCATGCCAGATAATTAAACTGAGAAGCAGAGGGAAATTCAATACACTCTATTACAACTGAGGGCGCCTCGGACTCAAGGGAGACTTTGGTATTCATAGACTGGATATAAAGCTTTTGTAAAGCATCAAGTAGCTCACACTGAAAACATAAGTCGTTGAATGTGTCAGTGTTGACTAACAGTGGTGCCACATCACAGACCAGCATTATGTTAATGTACGGTAGCTGAGTGAGGTCACACTATGATAAATGCTTTAATAACTGCTGATCATTCTCATCAACCCTTAACCGTATTGTATTTTCAATGACTATGAAGCTAATGGGCGACTCGGTCTTTTCATTAATTTGTCTTAATTTCTAAGCAGGATCCTGCAACTTGAAGACGAAAAGGGACACTTGTATTATGGAGTCAGGGATGAGGTCATGTTCAGCAGTATTTAGGAGTTGTGTTACATACAGGCGGAAACCTCTGGTTCTGAAAAGTGAAACCAATGCTGAAGTGCGTTAAACTTGCATTGTGATTGTATGGAAGTCTATGAGAAAATGACCCTACTTCTCACTTGATTTATCACCTCAGTAAACATTGTAAACAGGAGTTAATTCGTTCAAACAATAGTTCAAAGTCTTTTTCAATAGAGCATGATGTTCATTTACTAAATTATGGTCCCATTTAGAGTAAAATAGACCATAAACAGGGTATGCTTTAGGGCGGGGCTACCTTGTGATTGACAGGTTGCTACCCCAGCGTTGTCCAGTCTGCGAGTTGTATATGTTTTCGTCTTAGAACTGACCAAAATGCCAAACAAGTCATTAAAACAGTAGTCCACAAATCAATGGGTTACATCACGGTTACTTTGCCCACTTATGGTTCAATATTCTCCATAACACCATAAGAGGTTCATTTTGCGTGACCATTTAAAGGGTTTCACAAAGTGCTGAAAAAATAATACTCCACAAATTTAGCATTGGACTCCTGTAACATTGCCAGGCTCACAATGGACCGTTTAAAAAAAGGATTAAAATTAATGCAGCATATATTTTTTATTCCAAACATTCTTCTTGTCAAAATCTGCCACCTACATTACTTTGGTTGGAGATTTAGGTGTGTTATGCTAGTAGCATCTAATGAAGCCTCAAGTCCCTATAGCAAATAGTAATCTTTAAGCTTACTAAGTGACATCACTTGAGGCATTTTATCTGATTATGAGCAGACAATTATTATAATCTCAAACTGTAGCAACTATCCACATGCTTGCACACCTCCAAAGTATTTACATGCAAAGCAGCACACCTTTGTTGTTTGTTTTGAATGCTCTAATGAGTCACGTTGAACTTGTTACCTTTTGGATAATACATGAGAACAGTAGGCTTTAGAAAGTCGAGTGTTGGTGTTTTATCTCAACCGGATTAAAGGCCTCAGATGCAATTCACAGTCATCACCTGATAAAATGTCAGTTTATTCACCAGGGAAAGGCCAGACTGACTGGCAGGAGTCTCTTTTCTCATCAACTGCCCAATATTTCTCTTTTTATTCTGTTCACTGACATTAGGTGTCAGCCAATGTAAGTCATTTTTTTGAAAAACAAAAATGGAAGAAACTCTTTCTCTACTGTATATTTTGACAGTCTAGTTTATACAAAGAGTCACTTTTTTATTTGTGCTTCGAGCATGACATTGTCGCTTTCTATATTGCTTGTACCATGTGTCTATTTTTTTAGCACCAGCCCATATATCATCCATCAAGGTGAACCGTCCAACACTGTCACTTTGTCACACCAGACATCAAGAGTGGAGACGATGCTTCGGCTCAAGCTTTGACCAGTGGGAGTAGAAACGAACTCTTCCTTCCTGCCGAATCCACCGGCTTGTGTGTTGGGCAAGTGTTGAATTCAATATGACCTTTTGAAGGAATGTGACCACAGAGAGCTGCCAGAGCCCAGTTTGACAAGTCCACCGAATGATTCTCTCAACATGCGAGCTCCAACCAGCTCCGTGGACCTTTACCTCAACCTCACTACCTCACTGCCTCACATCCATCAACTCGGAGCCGGGCTCTTGACAACATCACATCTCCTCAGTGCAGAGACTTTGGGAACGGTTGTACTTTGGTGCATGTTGAGTTATATTTAAGTTACGTTAGTGATGTTTTCTATACTTAAGTTACGTTGTTTTTGTTTTACTTAGGTTACGTACTTGTTTTAGCGTTAACCACGTGTTGGAGCGACCGTAGTGGAGCATCATAGTTTGAAGCGCTGGGCTACCCAGTGCGCTAGAAAGTGACTCATCGGGGTCAGATCAAGCGCCAGGATGTGACGAGTTGGGATGAGAACATGTTGAGATAATCTGTTTGGCTGTTTGTCTTTAGTTTGTCTGTTTATAAATATTTTTTCTGTAATTTATTCTAAAACACAAGCCTCAGCTGTATCAGTGGTTTCATTGAGGGTTCCTCTAAGATATCCATTGCATAACATGATTACGCCTCACTTCTCATATTTCCTATTAAATAAAAATAAAAAAATCCTAAAATATTATCTATTTTTTGTGTGTGCATTTGTAATGTGTTCAGTCGGGACTTTGTTTTAGGTCCTAAAACCTGGAACAGTCACAGCTCAGGGCATCTGGAGTCTAAATTTTAATGATGCAAACCTGCCTGGCTGGAAATATTTCCCACAGTAGTTTAGAGAGCAGTGCAAATCAAGACCGAGTCCGGCTGGGATGCATTAATTAAATTTAGTGAATGTGGAACTGCTGATAAAATAAAATGATTATCGAAAAGGCAATAACTTTAAATGTAACGGTTCTATTAAAAAATACGATTTGATATTATACACTTCCCTGATGAAATACCTGTTCACAAATACTCGCTTACCGTTTTTTAATTCTAACATATAGGGGTTAGCAGCTCAAGTAGGATCAGTTGAACCAACTGCTGAAAAGCGACCTGTCACGCAGAGTTCGCCTCCAGGGAGCAGGTGCTCTCGTGGTGGCCGCCGAGCCACACCAGTTAATTAACACCACTCGAGTGTGTCAAGAGGAGGGAAGAAAAATTGCGGCTCTTAGTTGGTGTCACAGCCCGGCCTGCAAGGCGTGACAAAAGGCAGATGCAGGGGGAATAACAATGGATTCATTTTTAAACCGACATGATAATAAATTACGAGAATTTGAACAAGTACGTATATTGAAAGGCGTAACAGGAGTAGAACCTATTACAACCAGACACGAATGAGTTTGTGCACGCAATCTCAAGATGCAAGAAATAGAAAATGCAATTGTAAAACAGAATAATAAAACAATCAAGCCGGAGGGTTATTATGGCAGAAATAATGCTTTTTAAACTTAATTCGACTTTAGAAACAGATTGAAAGTTTAGCCGTGCGTATTCTGGTAGAGGTCATCGGTTGCCTCTCGGTGAAGTTGATTGCTTTCATTTTATAAGTCGGTGACTGACATGGGGTTCTCTTGGTACGCCGTGTTCCTAAGCACTTATCTTGGTTTACCCCCTAAAGCTCACTTTGATTATCTAACTAAGCGGCATCTGAACCGCTAAATATCTTTTAGATCAGGTGACATTGCTTCTCTGATGTACTACCCCGAAAGAGCGTGGGCATATATATATATATATATATATATAATCCTCTGCTAGCAAATCTGTTCACAAAGCCACTCATAGTGAGAGTGCAGTGTGATTGACGTGATGAGGTTCGCATTGCTGATGAGCAGCGGTGACTGTTACAAGAGGAAAACATGCAGAACATCAGAGAGATGGAGAGCAGCTCCCAGTTGGTGTCTGCAAGCCGCCATGTTTCCTTCATCCGTCTTCAAGGCCGGGCTCCTTTTCAATGATGCTAAAAAATAAAAAATTAGCGGCAGCGCTCAAAATAACCCGTCTCCACACAAACTCACGTGACCACAGTCGGGTCAGTAAACTTCATTCGTATACTTTTATTTTTCTACAAAAATATTTTACATTAGAAAACACACCTTGAAATATACACACAGTCCACTTTGATTTTTGAAGTAACCGTGGGACATCTCAACTCAAATATATCTGTGTCTTTATTTAAATTGTAGGTAAATATATCAGCAAGAATAAATCCGGTTGCTATCTCGTGAGGCCTTATAACAACGACACCAGAAGGAGCTTGGGTTGATAGAGGGCGTCGTCCAGCGGTGAGGGGGGGGGGAAAAAGGCTCTGTGAACTGTAATCTGATCAAAGCAATATGGAATCACAATCTGTCCATATTTATACCAAAGAGTAGCACAAAACCAATACGGCCTCTGATAAATGGCAGGCGATGTTTCTGTACCAGGGTGTAGAATGAACTCTTGGTTGATACATGAGCTGCAGCTCCTCGAGGAGCGTGGGAGTACAGGTAAGAGACATAAGCTGAGATAATGGCGTTAAGACACCGAGACACATTTAGACTTTCAGACTTACAGGAGGACTTGCTACTTCTGTCCTACTTCCCCCAGCACAGGGGTGCCCTTCTCTCTTCATGTGGCTGTGGTTGGTGTTCACCGGTCTACCTGTTCACAGCCCTGGATGCAATTCATCTAGCTACCTGTCGACATCCCAGCATGCCATTTATTTGTCTTCCTGTCAGCATCCCATGGGGCCGTTCATCTGTTAACATAACTATCAATCTCCACTACCTTTCAGCTGTCTGCCTGGATGCATGCTGGGGTTTCACTCACCCGTCTACAGTAGCTACTGTATATCCCAGATGGCATTCTGTACTCTGGTCTGAGTACTGCAGACAGCTCTGCTCTTCCTGCCAGAGTTGAAATACTTTCTCTAGGGATTGGTGGGCACAAACCCCAGCCACTGTCATAACCTTAACTGTAACCAACTTAAACATAAACATTTATGTTGGTTCCATTGCTGGAAGGCAGTAAGCAGCCTGGCAGGAAGTTCCACTTTCCAGCCACTATTTAAAGAAATAGTTTGACATCATTGGGAAGATACCCATTTGTGCTTTCATGGCGAGACTTATATGAGAAGATCAATATCATTCTCATATGTGTAAGGTAAATATAAGGCTACAGCCTGGACCTGGTTAGCTTAGCATAAAAAACTGGAAACGGGGAAACTGCTAGTCTATGTCCGAAGGTAACAAAAAGCCTGGTTTGCAGTTTTCCCCCTTTCCAGTCTCAATGCTAAGCTAAGTTGTAGCGTAATACTTCTCTCGGCAAGAAAGGAAACACGCCTAACTATTCCTTTAAGGTAAAAACATGCCTTTAAATGAATTCACCTGTCACCATCTCAGGTCACCATTCAACTGTCTAACATCCCAGGATGCCATTTGTTATCATTGTAAACTTGTTCTACATGAAAAAAAGTGATTCTTATGGCTGCTGTTGGAATACTGCTGAATTTCGTGTGAACATATTTCAGCACAGCCCCACTCAAGTACAGCTTACTCCCAAAAATTATACAGTTCAGCCATTCAAGAAGAAACCGAGCGATATATAACTTATGGTTCTGTGTAACTCAATTTGTGAAGCACGGCACTAGCATTGTGGACGCCCACTAGATACATCCTAGCATGATAATATGATAACTGCATGTACTGCCCCATACAGCAAGGCGCTTTTAAAATGACCATCGAATGGGCATGTGAAATAAATAACAGCAAAAATAATAGCGAAAAAACATACCAATTGATATTTATATGAACAAAATGTTCCCGTTTGTATTTAGTCCGAGTGACCGCTGGCCCTCCGTCGATGCGTCTCTGTCTCTGCACCTGGCTTGAGAAGTCTGTCCCGTGCTTTGGCATCATAGCGGTTCTGAGCGGAGGGCCAGCGAGAGCGTCCAGAGAGGTGGCAGCAGCCACAGGGGGGAGGAGGAGGGGCGCGCTCCGAAAGGCGAGGCGGTGTCAGAGGTGCAGGAGCACACCTCGTATCCGTTCTCCGCGTGGTCCGGCTGATGGTGCACGTTGACTCTCGTCTCCGTGCTTTTGGGCTCCGTGTCCGGAGAGTCCGACTGCATCTCGGTGCACAGCAGCCAGTCTGTAGCGATGAGGCGGGGGTATCCGGCCTCCGCCTCCATGTCGCTGCTCGGCACTCGCCAGTACTCCTTCCCCTTGAAGAAATAGGATGAGCCTTCAGAGAGAGAGAGCGAGAGAGAGAGAGAGAGAGCGAGAGAGAGAGCGAGAGCAGAGGGTTGGTATTATGTATGTTTTGTAATACTAGAACAACACATAGGTCAGAATAAAATGCTAATTTATCACTCATGAGAGCAATAAGGATGCACTCAGCATTATTCTCATCCTTTCAGTGTATTTCTTATCCATCTCTTAAACCCGGGATTTTCTTACAGGCCTGTCTCTTTTCACTCACTGATCACCATGAGTTGTCACCACGTCTGCTTCACTTCTCTCTCCTCCTCCCTCTATCGCACTGTTCTCGCTTCATCCCCGGCTTGTGTGGAAGCAGCCTAAAGGCAGATAAATGCTTTGATGTGGCTCCAGGTCCCTGGCCCTAAAGGTGCGCGTATATGTTCATTTGCTTGTATACTGTATATATACACATACTGCTCCCACACACATCAAAGAGCTTGGATCAGGACCTCTACAGCTGGCGAAAGCCAGGAGACAACACAGACCTCTCAACACCTGACAGGGGAAAAGAGCTTCCACATATTCAGCTGGGAGTTCCTGCCGGGCAAAGTGGTGATGGTTGCTTGTTACCATTGAGAGTAGCCTGAAATAAGCACCCAGTACCTGCTTCTAATTAGCTGTTTTTTGTACCGGTTTTGAACATCCACAAGTGCTTTATCAAAGCCTAATCTGCAGGTGGAGGCATTCCTTATAGGGGATTTGCTTGGTAAAGGCCGCCGGAACAATGCCAGTTAAAGTAAACATTATTAATCCAAAAGGGAAGGCAATATGTCCTCAGCATCTGACCTATTGTAATTGCTTGGGAACAGCAGGCAACCTTCCTCCAGCACCCGTGGACCAAAAGCCCTCGTCCAGTCAAAGGAAATGCCAGAACCAAGCTGATATAATAGTTTTAAAGTGTTCAGAATTATCAAAATGTATGATATTCGCTCTGTTTCCAGGAACACAATATAATGAAAACTTTAGCCCGTAAACTTAGACATATTTTAGAACATACATATTTTTAACCCTTTCAGTCTCAGGACAAAATCTGGATTTCCTCATTATTCCATTTATGTGATGCGATTATGCGATTACAACCAAGCATGAGAGCTCATATTGCTCTTAAGGTCCAAATATAATACGTTGATTGACACCATGACCAAATTGGTTCATGTGCCGGTCTCGCTTAAACAGTGGACCTAATGCCGGCATTGTAAAGGGAAATAATAGGGTTAAAGTGACTTTATACAGAATATATGCAATTTATCCTAATATGACGAAATGTGGTCATGTTCAAAGCAATGCAAAAGTACGTCTTTGATGTGGATATGGCCTTAGGTTCCATTACGGTTAATATAATTTCAATAAAGAGTATAAAGCTTCTTATACTTTCCGCAAGGACGGTATTTCATACAGTTCTCAATTTTAACAACTGCCTTATTGGTTAACTTCATATTTTGTGAGTCATTGAGTCTTACATTATTATCCTCCACGTCCTCCCTATGCTGCACAGTGATTAAGTCAAGTTAGGAAGCAGGCTCTCAGTTTCTACCTATTTAGCTGCGGAGGTTAAATCTCAGTGAGTTTCACTGATTAGCGTTTGAGACGCATTAAGGAAAATAGGTTGTGAATGTTACGTACACTATCAAAATACAATTAAAAAGAAAAAGGGTCACTCCATACAAGATTCTCTTTTTTTATTATTATCGCAATTCATTTTTTCATTATAATGGCTTATGTCATTCTAATGCCACACATGATTACACGGCGCCTGCTGCGAGCTCACTAAACACGCATACACAGATTCTTCTTTTACTCTCACGTGTAGTGCTCGGCTTTTATAGAAGCCACTATAGACATTTCATAGCAGGTAAAAGAGCAGAATAGTTTACAGGCACAGATGCACAGAGTCCATAAAGATTACTGACATGGCAGATTCAGGCGTGACATGCTGCAATAATGATCACATTACCCCACCTCCTGCTATAAAGCTACCCAGAGGAGCTAGGTAGCTTTATGTAGGAGGTTTTAAGAGGCAGGTGAGGGAGAGAGATAGGAAGGGAGGACCACACACACACACACACACACACACACACACACACACACACACACAC